TTCGGGGAGGGCGCGTTCCTACCCCCCGCTCCGGGCCGCGGCCGGGGCTCGGGGCTGAGAGCGGCCTTGGGGCCGCCTCCCCGGGCCCCTTGGCTCCGCCATGTTCCGCAGGGCACGCCTTAGCGTGAAGCCGAATGTCAGGCCTGGTATAGGCGCCAGGGGCTCCACCGTCCCCAATCCCCAGCGAGGACAGGACTCTCCCAGGCCGCCCGAGCCTGCCTTGGACCTTGCTCCGAAGCCAGCGGAGCCCACAGATGTGCCTGCCGTGGATTTCGGGGGACCGGAGCGCCAAGAAAAGGCTCCTAGGAGCAGGTAAGCGCTTGCAGGGGCCAGTATGTTCATCTGCCCCGCCTCTCCGAGCTTGTCACCTGGTAGCTGAACAAGTGGACTTTACGGTAGGAGTACTCCTTCACTTGCAGTAAGGCTTTCAGACGAGGCCTCATGAAACTGCTCCGAACTGCATTTTGTCCCTCTGACCCGCTGGGTATGGCCAGTGCGGATTTTTGAAACGGTATGTAGATTCTTTGGCCGGAGACTGTAAGTGTTGGTGAGGGAATCTAGGTTTAACAGTTCCAAAACGAAGAGTATCCACATTATTCATTTGAGAATTTAGGTCACTAGTTGTCATTCTTCCGAAGATTTGTTTCTTGATCTTTAGGATTTTTATTTGCTTATTAAATTAAAAAAATTTATTATTCCTAAGTTTTCTGTAGGCACATGTGCTCACCAGAGAGAGAGAAAGAGAGAGAGAGAGGGAAAGTGAGAAAGCAAGCCACCAGGTCCAGCACTCAGACCTTGGCCAACCATGTGGGAGTTCAGCGTCAGCACACCACCTGCTGGTCCCTATTTGCTTATTTTTAAGAGAAGACTAGTATTGCTTTGGTTCTGCTGATTTTTGTTAATGGGAAGGAGGTCCAGTTACTTGCTTTGGTTTGGAAGTGTGCCCTTTTAAAAAAGGCGAAAGAGCATAGCAATTAAATTTAAGATACTTAGGGCTAAGATAATCTCATATATGTAAGTATAGTATCTGTATATATGAGGAAACCAGTAAGCAACCAAATGCCATGGCAAGAATTCCATTCAGAATTTTTTCTGTGGTTCCAGAAAGGCGAAAAAATTATTTCTTTGATTTCAAGGCACAACTTCTATTGGCCTGAACTGATGCTGGGTGCAGAGTGGTTTTTTTATTTGTTTGTTTGTTTGTTTTTAATTTTACCAAAAAGCAGGTGTACCTGCTGGAGAAGAGAGAGGAGAGGAAAGTGAGAAAGCATCCTCATGAGGGATGATCATGCCACAATTCCTTCTCCATTTCTCCTTTTGAGATTTTTGGCATGTACACGTGTCTGGTGTATTATTCAAGCCACTAAGTTGGACTTGAACTGTGCAGTTGGCCATGTGGGATCCAACCCTCTTAACCACTGCCACCAGCCGGCCCATTTGATATTATTTTGGCAGTTTAGTGATGCTTAGTAATTCTTAAGTTTCTCATGTGAATCTGATTTAAATTTTCTACCCCAAATTGAGATATACATAGCAGTCACTGTTAAAATAATAAAGTTCTAAGAGATTTTAACTGTGTAAGTATAGAGAGAGTAGTATTGAAACATCTAAGGTATTTGTTTTCTCAGAGTTAACATTTAGGGACTATATTTTTTCGACTTGTTTTTTCTTTCTTTTTACTTTTTTTGTGTGGGTCTTTGAAGTTGTAAGGTATATGTTCTGTCTTTAGGAATTGAACATAATTGGGTGAAATGCAAATAGTGTGTGTATCACATTGTTATATAGGCTGAGATGAGAGTTTAAATTGGAGTCTTCCTAGGAAGGTTACTGTATGGATTAAAACATTTTTCATTTTTATATAATACTAATTGTAAAATATGAGAATAGTAGACTTTAAAATTTTTGACTTATACCCCCCTTTTCTTGACTTAATTTGTTTAAACTGAGTGCTACTTCTTTTTTTCTCCTTTCTTTTTCTTTTCTTAATTGTCACAGTGTTCATGTTTTTGCCACAGGGGGAGAAAGAAAGAAAAACACCTCCCAATGAATCATACCTCAATCCCTTTTCTTCTGTGTTCTCAGTCCTTCAGGATTTGGCTATGTCACTGGACTCCCATGTAGTTGACTGCGGTTCGAGTCCTGGACTCGGTGGCTTAAACTCATGCCGGGCGTGTATGTGTGCATGCCCAAGATCCAGAGAAGAGAATGGAGGAAAAGGAATTGCAGCATGACTGTCCTCAATGGAGATTGCTTTCTGATTTTCCCTCCCTCTGTTTCTTTCTAGCCAGTAGCTTAAGCTACTTGGGTTGAATTTGAGTTGTTGGCCATGTGGAATCCTGCTCCTTTAGTCACTAGGCTAAGAGAGTCTGGCCATAGATTTATATTTTTCTTTTCTTTTTTAAGTTTATGTATTTCTCCAGTGTGTCTCCAGTGAGACACACACACACACACACACACACACACACACACACACAACTTCCCCAACAAGGGTCTTAGTGCCACAATCTGTTCCCAGCCTTTGCTAGATCATAGGCACCCATGTGCATAACCCAGCACATACAGGTAGGCCCCAGGACTTGAATCCAGTACATTGCTATGTGGGACCCCTTGAGTTACTGCTGCGTCATCATCTGGACCTCAGACTAGACTTTAACACTACTTTGTATAGTGCTGACACCGTAGTGCAGTGGTTAAATGCAGTGCATTGGGAACCAAGTCCCATGTGGCTGACCACGGTTGGAATACTACTCTGGGTGCGCTTGAAAAACACTCTGGAGGCATATGTTTGCATGCCCAAAGTTGAACGGGATGGAGAAATGGAGGAAAAAGGGATGTGGCATGAACTCCTTGAGAGGTGCTTTATCTCTATTTCTTCACTCACTCTCTTTTTCTGGCAAGTGCATGCACCATCTAGCATTTAAGGAAAACAAAAATAGGGGGTGGCCTTATAGCCTAGTGGTTAAGGGAGCTAGAGCCCAAGTTGCTGATTGTTGTTCAAATCCCAGCCCCAGCAGCTTGTAGAATACATCGGGCACATGTGTGAGTGCCCGAAATCCTGACAGGATGGAGAAATGAAATAGAAGAGATTGCAGCATGTTCATGCCCTATTGGGAGGTGCTTTCTCCCTCTCCCTTTCTCTCTCTGTGGAGTACATGCTTCTTCTGGCAATTAACAACAACAAAAAAGGACAATAGGGCTGGCTCTGTAGCCTAGTGCTTAAGGAAAGTAGAACCCATATGGCCAACCACTCTTTGACTCCTGCTCCCAGTGACTTGAAAGATATACTAGCCACCTGTGTGTGTATGTGCCCCAAATCCCAGTAAGATAAATGGAGAAGAGACTGCAGTGTAACTATATGGGGGTGCTTTCTCTTTCTCTCTCTGTTTCTCTGTCTTTCTCTCTAGAGAGCTCGTGTGCCCTCTGGCAGTTAAAATAATGGAAAAAAAAACAATAAAGACAAAAATAAAACTATACAGGGACCAGCAGTTAGCATAATGACTATGTCACTGGACTCCCATGTAGTAGACCGCGGTTCACATCCCGGACCCAGTGACTTAAACTCATGCTGGGTGTGTGTGCGTGCGTGCCCAAGATCCCAAGGAGAATGGAAGAGAAGGGATTGCAGCATGGCCATCCTCCCTGGGGGGTGATTTCTCGCTTTCTGTCTCTCTGTCTCTCTCTCTCTGTCTAGCGAGCGCACGCGCCCCATAGCAAAAACCTCTCAAAATAAAAAAACCCAACTATATATAGACGAAGATTCACGATGCTTTTTTCTTTTTAAAATTTCAACAGTGATGAAAAGACTCGTGATGAGAATGATGTTGAAAAATCCAGTAAACCTTCCTCTACTGTTTCACAGAGAAGAAAGCGAATATCAAGTACTTCTAGTCTAGTTAAACCTACTGTCAGTGTTCCTTCAGAATCTCATCCCTTATCTACAGTTAATCAAGAAACTCCACAACCAAACCCAGTTCCATCAAAAGAGAAACAACCATGCTCAGACAGATACCGAATATATAAAGCCCAGAAACTGAGGGAAATGTTAAAAGAAGAATTGAGAAAAGAGAAGGTGAGGAAAATCAAAATTTTGATGTTGACTGTTAAATTTCTGCCTTTATGTTAGTAAAGCATCATTTGGAATGTAAGCTTTTGTAGTATTTTGGTGGGGGGGACAAAACCAAATTAACATTCTTTATGTAAAGAGAATATTCCGTTTTGTTAAAAGAGTGTTTGAGAAGCACCATGACTTACAGTATTTATTTAATTTATAATACTTTTTAAGCTTATTTTATTTATTTATTTATTTATTGTTTTTGTTGAAGGGTACAAATATAAGTTTTACACAGTCATATATACACATACACATGTTTATAAAATCAACCTTCAATCAGATTTTTCATATAACGTTGTTCAAGTGATATGCAGTGTGTTTATTTGAATTAATATAAGTATAGTTGAGCAAAATGAATTGGTGGTATTTTCAAAATTGACAGTCTGGAAAACTACAAATGGGAAAATTTGTAGTATGCATGTAGTAGAATCTATGTTCTTTTTAAACTTCAAGATTATTTTTTCTCCCTACCTAAAAGAGCAGTGTAACAGCATAAAGCTTCATCCCTTGGTATCTATGTGACCTTGGGCAGTTTAATCTTTGTATGTCTATTTCCTCATCTGTAAAGTAATGTCAATAATAGTATTTTACCTCATTGAAGGGTGAAAATTAGGTGAATTAATACATGTGAAACACATTTAAACTAGTGTCTTGTAAATAGTAAGTGCCCAACAAATTCAGCTCTTATTAGTTTACTTGGTGCTTTATAGCTTGCTTCTCACTTTTTAAAAAATTTAACTTTATTTATTTACTTATTTTAATTTGAACAGAGAGGGACAGAGTGGGAGGGTAGGGCGTGAGAAAGGGAAACTGAGAAAGAAAGCCGCCAGGTCTGGGACTTGAAATGTGGTTGGCCCTGTGGGAGTCCAGCGCCCTTTACTACTGTACCACTTGCCAGCCCCGCTTCTCATACTTTTCTCAGCTATGTTAAGTATTAGGTTGTTGGGAAAGTTGTGATGTATTTTTCTGTTTTTCTATGCAAAAATGTGTCATAACTTTTCAGGCAACCCAGTAGATACCATTGTTTTATACAGGACGAAACAAACTTGGGTTATTTGGTTTGTGTTAAATGTAAGTGGAAGATACGGGATTTGAATTCATATCTGCTAACATTTAAGTCTCTAAAAAGCTAAACCTCTAAAAATGTTTTATGTTTATAGAGTCTGCTTGATTAGATTTATTTTAGAGAATTAAACGTTAAACATTTCCTCTAAGAATTCCAGTTCACTATATGGTAAGCAAAAGCTATGTAATTCTAAATTCTCAGAAGCAGTTGTAGTTAGAAAGCATCATTAGGCATGATTTTATTCATTGCACTTTTATCCAGTCCCTGTCATGTGTTTATTTATTTATTTATTTTTCTTTTTGTAGGTTTTTGCTGTAGGGGTACATGTGCTCACCAGTGAGAGACAGAGAGGGAAGGTGAGAAATGACCCCCAAAAGGGGTTAGCCATGCTAAATCCCTTCTCCGCCTTCTCCTCTTTGGGATTTTGGGCACTTATGCACACGTGCTTGGCTTGGTTTTATTCAAGCCAGTGGTCTGAGACTCAACAGTGGTCAGCTATGTGGCAGTCCAGCGCCTTAACCCCCATGCCACTTGCTGGCTCCTGTCACTTTCATTTTTAAAAACTAAAAAATATGAAGGGTAATGTGCTATAAATTTGTTATTCATGGTGCTGGCAGGTGATGTGGTGGCTAAGATGCTGGACTCCCACATGGCCGACCATGGTTTGAGTCCTGGACCTGGTGGCTTGCTTTCTTACTCTCCTTCTCTTTCTCTCTCCTTCTCTCTGGTTAAATTGAGTAATAATAATAAATAAATAAAATTAAATAAATAATTCTTTTAAAAATTTATTATACATCATATTTTTTTTAAATGAGTCATAATTGGGACAGGAATAATATTAAAGCACTAGCATTAAATATAACAGTGAACTATGTATTTGAATATAGTACAGCCTAAATTCTCCTGTACCTGAAAAATAAAAGTGAGTCTGTATGTGTGTTTTTGTATATAGAAACAATGGAAAAACAAATATGCTCTAAATGAAAGCCATAGGCCACCTGATCGTTCAAAAATGACTATGAGAGACTTCATATATTACCTGCCAGATAATAATCCAATGACGTAAGTAAAATTTATTTCTCTTTTAACTTTTGGGATATAGTGATATAAGTATTACTTTTGTAGTACAGGCTCATGTTTTCCAAAAATATGTCAACAAAATTTATAGCACATATGATGTCTTTTTAGATAAAATTTTATTTTTTTTTTGCTCTAGGGTGTGTGTGCTTGTCAGATAGAGATAGAGGCAGAGAGAGAGAAAAAGGAAAGAAGGGGATGGCCATACCACAATCACTTCTCCATTCTCTCAGGATTTTCGGCACACACACATGTGACTGTTGTGACTTTTAAGCCTCCTGGTCCTGGACTTGAACCATGTAGTAGGCCATGTGACATCCAGCTGCCTTAACCTCTTATAAATTTTTTTAATGTATTTTTGCTATAGGGCATGTGTGCTCACCTGAGAGAAAGAAAGAGAAAGACAAAGTGAGAAATCATCCCCCAGGGAAGATGACCACACCATAGTCCTGGCTCCATCCTCTTCTAAGGATTTTGGGCATACACACATATGTGCCTGGTATGAGTTTCAAGCTGCCAGATCTGGAACTTCAACTGCGGTCCACTATGTGGGAACCCAGTGACGTAGTCATTATGCCATCTGCTGGTCCCTTAGCCACCTTAATCTCTACACTACCTGCTGGCCCTAGATAGAATTTTTTTTTTTTAGAGGTTTTTTTCTACAGGGCACGTGCGCTTGCCAGACAGACAGAGAGAGACAGAGAGATAGAACGCGAGAAATCACCCCCCCAGGGGGGATGGCCACGCCACAATCCCTTCTCCTCCATTCTCTTCTCAGGATCTTGGGCACGCACGCACACGTGCCCGGCATGAGTTTAAGCCACCAGGTCCGGTGTTCTCAAAATCTTGAGAGGAGAATGGAGGAGGAGGGGTTGTGGCATGGCCATCTCCCTGGGGAGGTGTTTTCCATCTCTCTCTTTGGCACACACATATGCCTTATAGTAAAACTCTCTCAAGAAAAAGTTTCTTTTGGGGCCAGCAGAAGGTATAGTGGTTAAGGTGCTGGATTCCCAGATGACTAACCATTGTTTGAGTCCTGGACCTGGCAGCTTGAAAATCATGCTAGGCATGTGTGCATTATTGCCCATAATCCTAAGAGGAGAATGGAGAAGGGATTGCTGTGTGATCACTCCCTGCTGGTGGGGGTTGGGGGTGATTTCTCACTTTCTCTGTTTCTCTGTCTCTCTGGTGAGCACATATGCCCTATGGCAAAGACCTTTAAAAGTTCTTTTTCTTTTATTGTATTAATTACCAGAATATAGTAAAACTAATTAAGTAACTAATAGAGATTGTACATTTGATTTCTTTTTTTTTTTAAGGGAAAAGAATATTTTTAAGAAATTATTTAGGGACCAGCAGTTAGCGTAATGGCTATGTCACTGGACTCCCATGTAGTCAACCGCAGTTCGTGTCCCAGACTCGGTGGCTTAAACTCACGCCAGGCGCATGTGCATGTGTGCCCAAGATCCCGAGAGGAGAATGGAGAAGGGATTGCGGTGTGACCATCCCCCCTGGGGGGAGGTGATTTCTTACTTTCTATCTCTGTCTCTCTCTCTCTCTCTGTCTGGCGAGCGCATGCGCCCTATAGCAAGAACCTCTTAAGAAAAAAAAAAGGAAATTATTTATTATTATTATTATTATTTAATTTGCTATAGGGCATATGCATTCATGAGAGAGAGAGAGTGTGAAAATTAGAAAGCAAACTGCCTGATCCAGGACTTGAACTGCTCTTGGCCATGTGGGAGTCCAGCACCCTAGCCACCATGCCATCTGCTGGCCCCATCTTTTTTTTTTTTTAAAGAGGGTTTTTGGCTATAGGTTGCGTGTGCTCACCTGAGAGTCAGAGACAGAAAGCGAGAAATCACCGTGAGTTTTAAGCCACTAGGTCTGGAACTTGAACTACAGTCAACTACATTGGAGTCCAGTGACGTAACCATTACACCATGTGCTGGTCCCACACATTTGATTTCTTATGTGCTATTTTTTAAAGAAATAATTATTTTATTTAACTTTATTATTATTATTATTTTTACTTGACCAGAGGGAGACACCGAGAGAGAGAGGGAAAGTGAGAAAGCAAGCCACATGTCCAGGACTTGAACTAGGGTTGGCCATGTGGGAGCCCAGTGCTCTAAACCACCACGCTACTTGCCAACCCCCTCTTACATGCTATTTTTTAAAAAGATTTATTTAGTTTTAAAATTTATTATTATTACTTTTTAAATTTGCTATAGGGCATGTGCACTTACTAGAGAGACAGAAAGAGAGAGGGGAGAAGTGAGAAAGTTAAGTCTCCAAGTCTGGGACTCAAACCATGGTTGGCTGTGTGGGAGTCCAGTGCCTTAATCACCATACTACCTCCTGGCCCGCATTTCTTTTTAAAAATTTTTTAAAACTTTATTTATTTATTAAATTTGATCAAAAAGGGACAAAGTGAGATGGGGGGGAGTGAGAAAGCAAGCTGCTGGGTCCAAGACTTAGACCATGGTCAGCCATGTGGGAGCCCAGTAATCTTAACCACCCCATGACTCCTGCCGGTCCCTCCTGTTTCCTTATATACTGTTAGTTGATCTAAATAAATGAAGCAATTTTTTAAAAACATTTATTTTATTTTATTTATTCATTCATTTTATTTTAATTTGACCAGAGAGAGACACACAGAGAGAGAGAGGGAAAGTGAGAAAGCAAGCCACCAGGTCCGGGACTCGAACCATGGTTGGCCATTTGGGAATGTCCAGCGCCTTAACCACCACGCCACCTGCTGGTCCCAAATAAAGCAATATTTATGCCCTTCCTATTAACTGAATATAGTGGCAGTTTGATTAACAAATCTTCTAAGAACAAAGCTGCTTTAATCATAATTGGCCTGGGACAGGGTTAGGGTGAGAGGGTTTATAATCAATGTCATTATTGTAATGATGGCTTAGCAGGTGGAGTTAGGAGTAGTGCATATTTTTCAGTGTAGGCCTGCTGAGGTTCAGTTTTAGGTCTTTGGCCTAGTTGAAAGAATGGCCATAAACCTATGTTTTGAGTTATTTGACATGGAGAACTGGGAGATAAGCCACCCAGGTTACTTCATGCCTTGGAACACATAGCCTCCTTCACTAAGGATTTAGAGGGTAAGAACATTCCCTACTTAGGGCTTATTAAGATTTTTGTTCTTGATGACAAGTTTTTGACTGAAAAATTGATTTGTAGACTGCACCATCACTTATGAAGTGCTATAGTATATTATTAAAAAATAAACATGGGTATTAAAATAATTTTTTGCTCAATGATAGAACTGATAAGAGGTTAATTTATAACTTATTAAAAAGTATTCTGTTATTTATGTTTCCTAGTTCTTCACTAGAACAAGAAAAGAAAACTGAAAAATCATCGACTACAGTCCAGACAAGAGAGTAAGCATCTTTTATTCTTTCTTTGAATATATTCTATTAAGGGTGTGTGTATATTTTATATCTATACACACCCACACATATTAATGTATACAAACGTGTGTGTATGTGTGTGTTTTGTATGGTGTGTGTACTTGTTGGGGAAACAGAGGGAATGGGAAAATGCCCTAGGAGAGATGGCCATGCCAGACTCGCTTCTGCATTCCCCTCTCAGTATTTCAGACATGCCTGCACGTATGCAGGATTCTAAACACACAGTTAGTCATGTGGGATTGTAGCTGCCTTAACCACTGTCTACTGATTGGCCTAAGGGTGTATTATTTTTCTTTTTAAAAGAATTATTTAATTTTATTAATTAATTTGACTGGAGAAAGACAGGAAAAGAGAGAAAGGAAAAGTGAGAAAGCAAGCCTCCAGGTCCAGGACTCGAGCTGCAGTTGGCCATGTGTGAGTCCAGAGCCTTAACCACCATGCCACTTGCTGGCTCTATAAGGGTGTATTTTTTTAATAGATGAAATCAAGGGACCAGCAGGTGGCATGGTGGTTAAGGCACTGGACATTCTCAAATGGCCAACCATAGTTTGAGCCCTGGACCTGGTGGCTTGCTTTCTCACTTTCTCTCTCTCTCTGTCTCTCTCTGGTCAAAATAAAATATGTGAATGAATAAATAAAAACAATTTTAACAACAACAATAACAAAAATAGATGAAATCAAATGATTCTTAACTATAGTCAAATTACATTTGATGGATTTTTTTAAAAAAAATTGACTCACTTCAGCTGTACTTTAAATCCTGGGCCCAACAGCTTGAAACTCATGCTGGGTATGTGTGTGCATCTACCCAAAATCCTGAGAGGAGAAGGAATTGTGGTGTGCCCATTCTTCATGGGGGGATGATTTCTTGCTTTTTGTCGGTGTCTTCTGTCTCTCTGGCAAACATACATGCCCTATAGCAAAAATGTCTTTTAAAAAATAGACTCACTTAACAAGAATATGTTACCTATTTAAATCAATATGAAAGTCTCACACTATTTTTGCATTACATAGGTGACTAGCCAGTATTGACTTTAAATTTAAACTTTTAAAATTAAGAGTTGTGGGACCAGCAGTTAGTGTAATGACTGTGTCGTTGGACTCCCATGTAGTCAGCCGTGATTCAAGTCCCGGACCTGGTGGCTTAAACTCACGTCGGGTGCATGTGCGTGCGTGCCCATGATCCTGACAGGAGAAGGGATTGCAGAGTGCCATCCTCCCTCGGGGGTGATTTCTTGCTTTGTGTCTCTGGCAAGCACATGTGCCCTGTACCAAAAACCTCTCAAAAAAAAAAAAAAATTAAGAGTTGTTTTTGTTGTTGTTGTTTTTATTTAAATGTTGTTATGGGGGGCCACCAGGTGGTGGAGTGATTAAGGTATTAGACAGAAGTGGAGTAGATAAGGTATTGGACTCACACATGACTGCGGTTTGAGTCCTGAATCTGGTAGCTTGAAACTTACGCTAGGTGCATGTGCGTGTTTCAGATCAACCTGGGAGTTGAACTGTGCTCTTCCATCGTGGAATGCTGCATCACTGCTTGAGCCACAGCTCCATCAATTTTGTTTTATTTTAGAGCAATGGTTTATTCATATGGTACAAATTCAAAAGGAACAAAAGTAAATACTGAGAAAAGTCTGTCTTTATACCCTTCCCCAGAGTAACTAATGTAGCTAGTTTTTTAATGTATCAGTTCAGTTCTAAGCAATACATATACAAGCAGATATGTATTGTATATATCCTTTGTTTCTTTTTGTTGCATGAAAGCATACTGTTTACACTGATCTGCAACAGGTCTGGTTTGATGCCACTAAATATAGTCCATTTAGTACAAACTCCCTTTTGCATTCCATGTTTAAAACTGTCATGTTAGCTTACTCCTAAGAAATTCTGCTCAGGGACTTTGTTGGAAATTATTATAACTTTGTAAATCAAAGTGGGGATTTGTGCAAAATTAGCAGAAACATTGGGAATTTACTGATTGTCAATTCAAGGGTTGATTAACGATTACTATTTTGCCAAGGTTTTATTAATTTTTTTTTTAGAGAATGATTTTTGTTATAGGGCATATGTGTTTTAATAGACAGACAGGGAGGGACTAGCAGTTAGCATAATGGCTACATCGCTGGATTCCTATGTACTTGGCCACAGTTTGAATCCCGGACCCGGTGGCTTAAACTCATGCCAGGTGCGTGGGCGTGCATGTCCAAGATCCCGAGAGGAGAATGGAGGAGAATGGATTGTGGCGTGGCCATCCCTCCTGGGGGGGGATTTCTCGCTTTCTGTCTGTCTGTCTCTGTTTTTCTGGCGAGCGCACGCGCCCTATAGCAAAAACCTCTCCAAAGAAAAGAAGATTAAAAAAAGAGATAGAGACAGACAGAAAGCGAGAAATCACCTCCTGTGGGGATGGTCATGCCACTCTCTCTTTTCCTTCATTCTTTTCTTGGGATTTTGGGTATACACACACACGCACACACATAGACTTCCTGTATGAGTTTCAAGCGTCTGGATCAGAGACTCAAACCGTGGTCGAGCATGCGGGAGTTCAGTGAAGTAACCATTATGCCATTTGCTAGCCTCAGGATTCAAATTGTTTTAAAGCAGAGCTTGAAACTTTGAAAACAGGTTGTTTTACAGGTTTTGGGGTTATTTTTGCTTTGATAAAACCTAAGGAGACGATACAGTAGAACGGAAAGTATATAGGATTTGGAGTCATCTGGAAAACTGTGCTTGGTTTCTTGCTCTCTCCCTCCTGTTGTGTAATCTATAGAAAAAGCTATTTAACAGGACCAGCAGTTGGCGTAATGGCTATGTCGCTGGACACCCACGTGGTCTACCGTGGTTCGAGGCCCGGACCCCGTGGCTTAAAACTCACACCGGGTGTGTGTGTGTGCGTGCCCAAAATCCCGAGAGGAGAATGGAGGAAAAGGGATTGTGGCATGGCCATTCCTCCTGGGGGGTGATTTCTCGCTTTCTGTCTCTGTCTCTCTCTGGCGAGTGCATGCGCCCTATAGTGAAAACCTCTCAAAAAAAAAAAAAAAAGAAAAAGCTATTTATCTTCTCAAAGGCTCAAGGAGGTAGGAAAATACCAGTCCTCAAAGTTTGTCTGAAGAATTAACAAAATGATCTGGAAAACTGATATAAGGATTACTATAGTTAATTCTATAATAACTCTGTGGTTTACTCTGATACTATATTGAGATTTTCAAAAGACAAGCATTTTTTTCTGGGACCACCAGTTGGCGTAATGATTATGTCGCTAGACTCCCATGTAGATGACTATGGTTTGAGTCCCGGTCTGGTGGCTTAAACTCACGCTGGACGTGCATGTGTTCATGCCCAAGATCCTGAGAGGAGAATGGAGGAGAAGGGATTGCGATGTGGCTATCCTCTGTGGTGGGGGTGATTTCTTGCTTTCTGTCTCTCAGTCTCTTTCTGGCGAGCACACACCCTATAGCAAACCCCCCCCCAAAAAAAAAAAAAAAGCAAGCATTTTTTTCTCTTTATTTTAAAAGGGAGTAAAGGCTTAAAGGTTTATTATATGTTCTTTTATTATTTTCTATTTTTTTTATAATCATGTTCTTAACAGCCCCTAATATTTTCAATTAGGTTAGAGGTAAATTGGAAATAGAAGTTTGAATTTGTCATAATTTATTCTGAAGTTTGTACTGTTCATGAAACATTTATCATGGCTATGTGAATTAACCTATCTTTATATTTGGTAGGCAAGTAGATAAGAGTACTCCTGATGGTGAAGGGAATGAGGACATGGAAGAAGAGATGGATGATGGGCCACTGCTGGTTCCTCGAGTGAAAGTGGCAGAAGATGGTTCTATTATTTTAGATGAAGAAAGGTAAGTTAAAAAAAGAGATTTTGGATTCATGAGAACAAACATGCTTTGTCGAATGAGAGAGATCTTGTTTCTAAATGTGTCATTGTCACTTAGACCCTCATGTTTATATTTGCATAATGAATATTATACATGTAAAAGTAGGTTAGATTAATTTTTAACTTTAGCATTTTTATAATGCTGTATTTAGTATAAAAAGGTGTACTGCTGCCTTATTATGTGTTAACCTAACACTGTTTTATTAGCTTTGCTAGTAATTGTGTTGAGTTATTGAACTATACTCCACTAAGGGTAGATTTCTAATATTGACTTAGTCTTGAAGTTAGTATTCAAGTTTTCATATTATTATCTAAGGTCGTATTTTGGTATGTGGTGATAACTAATGAATATGCAATGAATCTTAAGTTTAACATGTTTTATGATGTTTGTTGAGATTTCGTTCACCTTCTGGGTTAATTTCTTACTTATAACATTAAATCTCCTACATATGGTGTTGTAGAATTTAGTTTTCTTTCCAAAGTGTGTGTGTGTGTGTGTGTGTGTGTGTGTGTGTTGTAGTTTGTTTTACATTTTTTATAGATTGTATACACTTGCGGGGGAGAAAGAGAGAAAATGAGAAAGCACTCCTGGGGTGGGGTGGCCACACCACAGCTCCTTTTCTTCAATTCTCTTGGGATTTCGGGTATGCATGCACACATGTCCAGTGTATTTTTTTTTAAGAGGTTTTTGCTATAGGGCACGTGCACTCGCCAGAAAGGCAGAGACAGAGATAGAAAGCGAGAAATCACCCCCCCGGGGGAATGGCCATGCTGCAATCCCTTCTCCTCCATTCTCCTCTCGGTATCTTAGGCATGCACGCACACGCGCCTGGCGTGAGTTTAAGTTTTTTGTTATGGGACTCGAACTGCAGTCGACTACATGGGAGTCCAGTGACAGAGCCATTATGCTAACTGCTGGTCTCAATTATTTATTTATTTATTTTTAAAGTTTAAGCTACCAAGTCCGGGACTCAGACTGTGGTCGACTATGTGGGAGTCCAGTGACAGAGCCATTATGCTAACTGCTGGTCTCCATTCTTTATTTATTTATTTTTAAAGTTTAAGCTACCAAGTCCGGGACTCAGACTGTGGTCGGCTATGTGGGAGTCCAGTGACAGAGCCATTATGCTAACTGCTGGTCTCCATTCTTTATTTATTTATTTTTAAAGTTTAAGCTACCAAGTCCGGGACTCAGACTGTGGTCGGCTATGTGGGAGTCCAGTGACATAGCCATTACGCTAACTGGTGGTTCCCGTACCAGTGTATTTTTTTCAAGCATCTTGGTCTAGGACTTCAACCATGCAGTTGGCCATGTAGAACCTAGTCATCTTCACTACCCTTCCACTTGGCTAACACCCACAATATATTTTGTAAAAAAGAGGATAAATTATTCAATAGGTAAATAAAAAAGAGTAATGGGAAGTCTTTCAGTAGTTTAATTAGTAAATAATTTTTTGGGAGGTCAGATGACATACACATTTGCCACAGAGAGGGAGAAAAAAGAGAGAGAGAGGACAATAATTTTTTTTTGTCTGATGACATACACATTTGGCACAGAGAGGGAGAAAAAGAGAGAGGTGGAGAAGGGAGGAAGCAACTCCCCCCGATCGGATGTGGTCATGCTTCAATCTCTTCTCCTTCATTTCTCCACCCTGTTGGGATCTTAACATTCATGTGCACACATCTGGCATGTTTTTCAAGCCTTAAGAGCCAGGATTTGTGCAGTAGTCTGTCTTCTGGGATCTGGCTTTCATCATCCTCATCTTTTTTTTTGTTTAGGTTTTCGTGGTAGGGTGTATGTGTTCACTGGAGAGAGAAAGATAGGGGAAGTGAGAACTCACCTCCCTAGGGGGATGGTCAGGCTGCAAACCCTGCTCCTCCACTCTCCTCATGGGATTTTTGGCAGGATGCACACAACCCCATTGTGATTTTCAAGCCATTGAGTCTGGTACTCATATTATGGAGTTGCCTATGTAGGAATCTAGCACCTTAATCACCATGCAACCTGTTGGCCCCAAGGGGATTCAGCTTTCCTAACCAGTAGGTCATGGGGCAGGCCCAGGAATAATTTTATTACATTTAAGTTCTATGACAATTAAATGTAATAATTGTTTTAGCATGCCACTGCCATTTTGCGATAATGATTGTGCTGGATATTAAGTAGTTAAAAGTATAATTAAGTGCTTTGTGTGCAGGACTGTAAATTACAAATATAAAATGCATATATTTCTTAATATCCTTATTCATCCTAGCACAATAATATATATTGAACATAAGAATTTATGCTAAAGTGAATAAAATTTTTTTTTGGTGGCCCAGTGATATTTTTGTAAATATGAGTTTTGTATTCTGGATTTTGAAAATAAGTTGCCATTTATTTACACACCCTGTGAATTACATTTTAAGTGAAAATTACCAGATGTTTAGAAATTTGTATTACTATACTTTCCATATGACTACCACAGTAAATTTAGAAATATAACTATTTAAATCTCAATTATTGTATGTTTCTGTCCTTGTTTTTAGTGTGGATCTATTTGAAAATGTGTTTTTTTTCCCCCCAGCTTAACTGTAGAAGTTTTAAGAACAAAAGGCCCCTGTGTTATTGAGGAAAATGACCCCATATTTGAGCGTGGTTCTACAACTACATATTCCAGTTTTAGGAAAAACTATTACTCTAAACCATGGTCAAATAAAGGTAACTAATTTTTACATAAAATTATGTAAGTTATTTATTTGACATGAATATTTTTTGTTTCTGAAATAAGTCAGTTCCCTCCTAAGTTAATAAAATGCCGACTATCATGTTTTTTGCTTTCCAGCTAATTTTATTGGCCCCTCCCTCCTGCCTAAACTAGGAAACTGTATCTTAGAAATTTTTTTAGAAATTAGTTTTATGGTTATTTTGGTTGAAATGTTGCTCTCTCAGATCCTTACACAACAAAAATTACTTAAGTGAAATGAACAATTTTAATGTTTACTGTGTTCTTTCTCTAATATTTGAGTATATGGGACCAGCAGATGGCATAATGGTTACATTGCTGGACTCCCACACTGTCAACTGAAGTTTGAGTGCCAGACATGGAGGCTTAAAAATTAAGCTTGGCATGTGTGCGTGTGTGCCCAAAATCCCAAGGGGAGAATGGAGTACAGCATGGCCATCCCTCCAGGGGGTGATTCTTGCTTTCTGTTTCTTTGGCGAGTGCACGTGCACTATTTCAAAAATCTCTGAAAAAAATAAATTGGGAAAATAATAAGGTTTCAATAGGTACCAGATTTTAAAAAAATTATTTAATTTTATTTATTATTAATGTTCTCCAGTTTGACTAGCGAGAGACAGAGAGAAAGAGGTAGGTAGAGTGAGAAAGCAAGCTCCAGGTCCAGGATTCAATCTGTAGTCGGCCATGTGGAAATCTAGCGTCTTAAGCACCATACCACCTGCCGATTCTACAAATTAAGCTTTTAAAAAAGCACACAATACTTGTGTGATGCTGGTTCTTATTTTTTTATTATAAAAACAGTATAGTTCATTTTGGCAAAAAATTCAAACACTGTAGAAGAATATAAAGTGAAAGGAAAGATACTTTTGCTCTCCAGCTTCCCAAATTTTTATTTGACCAGAGAGAGACAGAGAGGGAGGATGAGAAATTGAGCCTCTAGGTCTGGGACTTGAACTGCTGTTGTCCATATGGGAGCCCAGCTCCCTAACCACCAGTCCACTCGCTAGCCCCACAGTTTCTCTCTCTCTCTCTTATTTTGGAGAAGTTTTTGCTATAGGGGCATGCACTCGCCAGAAAGAGTGAGACAGACAGAAAGCAAGAAATCACCCCCCCGGGGGGGATGGCCATGTTGCAATCCCTTCTCCTCCATTCTCCCATCAAGATCTTGGGCACGCACACACACGTGCCTGGCTTGAGTTTAAGCCACCGGATCCAGGACTTGAACTGCGGTCAACTACATGGGAGTCCAGCGACATACCCATTGTGGCAACTTCTAGTCCCCAGTTTCTTATTTTTTAAATTAAAAAAAAATTTATAATGTGCTACAGGGTGCATGTGCTCGCTAAGAGTGGGGGCAGAGAGGAAGAGAGAGAAAGTGAGATAGCACTTTCTCAGGGACAGTGACCATGCTGCCGTCCTTTCTCCATTCTCCTCTTAAGATTTTGGGTACGTGTGTACATCTGCTCGGAGTATTTCCTAAACTGTTGGGTCTGGGACTCAAACTGCAGTTTGCCATGCGGAATTAAGCTGACTTAATTACCATGCTACTGCCTGGCCTCTCACGTGTTTTTCTAGCTACTTTTAAAATAAATTATTTATTTAATCTTACTTATTCACTCATTTATTTTAATTTGACCAAAGAGAGACAGAGAAAGTGAGAAAGCAAGCCGCCAGGTCTGGTCCTCAAACCATGGTTGGCCATGTGGGAGTCCAGTGCCTCCACCGCCAGGCCACCTGCAAGCCCCTTTAACTACTTTTTTTGGTGTACTGCATAGCACTCCTAGTTGCTTGTATACCTGACATTATACTGGCTGTGAATGACAGTTTTCTTCAGGGCATTTTAAATAAGACCAAACAGGTAGAATATCTTGTTTCAAAAATTCTGAATGCTTTGGTATACTAATTTCATATGCTACATTAAAAATAAAAGTTTAAGTAAAGTGTTTTAAAATATTTTGTGAGATTCTTTTCAGTGAAATTAAGTACTGTCAAATTTATTTTTAACTTAGAATCTGCACTTATGTTAATCTTTTCCACCTGAAATAACTAGAGTAATTTCTAGTCATTCTACATCTTTTATTTTTACAGAAACAGATATGTTTTTTTTAGCCATCAGCATGGTAGGAACTGACTTTTCTATGATTGGACAGCTTTTTCCTCACAGAGCAAGGATAGAAATTAAGGTAAGATAAACTCATCACATTTGTTTCTTGAAAGAGGCCAAAATATTGGTATATTATTATATTTTTACGTTGGTGTAAATTTAAGTCCTTTTTTTTTCACTATTTTACTTTTTGTTATATTTGTTATGTATTGCTAAAGTGATGTAATATTTGTGAGTTCCAGTATGACACTTACACTTAACTTCAGTGTCATATTTTCTTATTTCTGTCTTGTTTACTTCTAAAATGATTTTGAAGGAACCAAGAAAGGTCTAAAAAAACTAAGAAGAGTTAGATAATGTAGAAAGAAGATAAATGTACCAGAAGTTTAAGGGTAATTTTTTGACCGCAAAATGTATTTCTGAATTTCTAGGAAAGTATAAAGAGAATGTGGAGTTAAATTGTTCTCATTTGATCTTTTAGTTTCCTAGACCACCTTAACTCTGGGGAGGGTTGGTGGCTGTTAAGAATAGTGAGAGAGACTCAGGAAACATTTAATGGACACAGGAATTCATGTAAACAAGGAAAGTATATTATGGAACAGTATACCACCACAGAGTGAAAAAAAAAAAAGGCTATGTCACACACACATATATATGTATATATACATTATAAAAAAATCCTAGTGGAATGAAAATTGAAGGTATTTAACATATTGTAATGTTCTTTGTTGAAGATGATGAATATTGTAATTTCCTTGATTTGATTATTACACATGGCATGCATGCTTTGAAAAATCATGTTGTGCCCCACAAAGATGTTCAGTGATTAAATGTAAATAAGTTTTAAAAAAGATAACGATAAATGTGATATCAGTTATAGCTATAATACACTTGACCAGATGAGATTTCATTTTTATAGTTTCTTTGATGAGAAACTATATAGAGTTCCTCAGTATCCATGGGGGAATTGGTTCCAGGAACTCCTGTGGATACTAAACTCCATGGATGTTCAAGACTGTTAGATAAAATGGCATGTCACAGTAGGCTCTTCATAGTCATGGGTTTTGTATCTACAGAGTCAAGCAGCCATAGATCAGATTTTCTCTGTGGATGCAGAACTTGAGAATATGGAGGGCCAACTGTAAGGGACTTGAGCATCTGTGGGTTTTGGTATCCACAAGTGTCCTGGAACCAATCCTTTATGGATACTGAGGGACAACTGCATGTAACTAACCTTTGCACACCCTCCTAAATACTTTAAATTATCTCTAGATTACTTGTAAGAAATCTTAGCATCAGCAATATGTAAAAAATAAAATTATATAGATAAACTTCAGCATCTCTCTTTTAGGGAATCACTTACCTCTGTTTCATAGTAATTTGATGTGGCCTGGCTTCATGGTCCCAACCCAGTGTTTGTTATTTTTTTTTTATTTTTTATTTTTGAGAGGTTTTTGCTATAGGGCTCATGCAGTCGTCAGACACAGAGAGACAGAGATAGAATGTGAGAAATCACCTCCCAGGGAAAATGGCCACGCTGAAATCCCTTCTCCTCCATTCTTCCCCTGAGATCTTGGGCACACATGCACGTGTGCCTGGTGTGAGTTTAAGCCACTGGGTTCAAGACTCAAACTGTGGGCTACCATGGATCTGGGACTTGAACCTGGTTGGCCATGTGCGACTTAACTTCCACTGTGCAGTGTTTGACTGCTGTGTTACAGGAGTAGCCCTTGTGTTTCTTAAGACCTCCTTTTTCAGATATTGAAATATCAGTACCAACTTTACTGTGCTTCCAGTTTCCATAATTAAAAAGTTTCTTTCACTTTACCCTATTGTGTGTTTGTATATTAAGTTTGTCTTTTATAAACTACATGTTGTTGAGTCATGCTTTTCTTTAGTATGAAATTATTGCCTTTTAATTGTACTTCATTACATATGGCATTACTGTGAGAGACAGGAGGTGGGGCATGTTCATTATATTCTTTATGTTCTTAATTTTATGTTGACATTTAATAAAAAGGAAATCTTTTGCATTGCAATATAATTTAGTTTATTTACACTTAATGAAACAATTTGTATGGCTGTGCTTAAGTCTGTCATGTCACTATTTTTTATTTATCTCATTATTTAAAAATTTTTTAAAAATAATTATTTTATTAAATGTTACTTATTATTATTTATTTTAATTTGACCAGAGAGAGAGAGAGGGAAAGTGAGAAAGCAGGCCACCAAGGACTCAAACTGTGGTTGACCATGTGGGAGTCCAGTGCCTTAATCACCATGCCATCTGCTAGCCCCCGCCCTTTTTTTTCTTTGTTATCCTACTTTTGAGTTAATCAAATTTTTTTTTGCCAATTATACTTGTCTTTGTTTTTCCATTTTAGTCTTTTTTAATACTTTATAAATAATCTCTTACAAGTATAATTTCATTATCCCTCATTCCTTGTGCTATTATATATTTTATTTTCACGTACCTTATGAACCCAATCGTATAATGACTTATTTTAGCTTCGAGAGCCTTTTATTTTTTAAGGACATTGATTAGAAAAAAGAAGCTAATCTTTAACATTTATACATACATGTACCATGTCTGGTGTTTTCATTCTTTCCTGTAGATAATGAATGAATGATCTGCTTTTTTGGGGGGGGGAGGGGAGAGGTTTTTGCTATAGGGCATGTGTACCTGCCAGAAAGACAGAGACAGACAGAAAGACAGAAAACAAGAAATCACCCCCTGGGGGAATGGCCACGCCACAATCCCATTCTCCATTCTCCTCTCAGGATCTTGGGTATGCACACATGTGCGCCCAGTGTGAGTTTAAGCCGCCAGGTCCAGGACTCAAATCGTGGTTGACTAAATGGGAGTCCAGCGATAATAGCCATTATGCTAACTGCTGGTCCTGATAGATCTGCTTTTGAAACATTTTCTCAACTTTTATTTATTTGACTATCCCTAACCCAACCTTGCTTTTGAAGAATATATTTTGCTGTATATAGAACTCTGGTTCTATAGTTTTTTCCTTTGAGAGGCTTTTGCTATAAGGCATGTGTGCTCGCCAGAGAGACAGAAAACGAGAAATCACCCCCTGGGGGGGGATGGCCACGTCGCAATCCCTTCTCCTCCATTCTCCTCTCGGGATCTTGGGCACACACGCACGCACATGCGCCCGGCCTATTTAAGCCCCTGGATCTGGTACTTGAACCGCGGTAGACTACATGGGAGTCCAGCAACATAGCCATTACGCTAACTGCTGGTCCCTAGTTTTTTCCTTTTGATCTTTTTTTGGGGGGCGGGGGGAGAGGTTTTGTTGTCCCCTGGCCTCACCTGACTGTTCGTGGTGAAAAGTCAAGCCACCATTTTTAGTCTTCCCCCTATTTGTGATGAAGTGGTTTTCTATGGCTATTTTCAAGGTTTTTTTTTTTTTCCTTTAACTTTGACATTCATCAGTGTGATCAATAGGCCTTTCCTTTTCTTTATGTTTATGTGATTTGAGGTTTAATGAACTTCTTGGATCCTTGGTTTGTTATTTTTTACTGTATTTGGGGAGCTTTTAGCCACTCTTTTTTATTTTTTATTTTTTGGCTGTAAGGTACATGCACTTGCCAGAGAGACAGACAGAGAGGGAAGGTTAGAAATCACCCTCTGAGGGGAATGGCCATGCCACAGTTCCTTCTCCATTCATTTCTAGGGATTTTGGACATGCATGCACATGTGCCAACATGATTTTCAAGTTTCTTGGTTCAGAACTTGAACCACGGAGTTGGCTGTGTTGGATTCTGCAGCCTTAACTTCCATGTCACCTGTTATCCTGCTATTCTTTGTTTCATTTTCTTTTTCTTTTTTTTTTTTTCCCTAAGAGGTTTTGCTATAGGGTGTGTGCACTCGCCAGAAAGACGGAGAGACAGAGAGATAGAAAGTGAGAAATCATTCCGGGGGTGGGGGGAATAGCCACGCCGCAATCCCTTCTCCTCCATTTTCCTCTCGGAATCTTGGGCACGCACGCACATGTGCCCAGTGTGAGTTTAAGCCACTGGGTCTGGGACTTGAACCAAGGTTGACTACATGGAGTCCAGCAACATAGCTAAAGGTTTAAGTAACTCGCCTATTAGAAAAGACATAAATTTAGTAGAGAATGTTATATTATTCATAAAATTTTCATTTTAATACTTAGTATTTTTAAATACAGAATTTTCACTATTTTAATAGGAGAAAATGACTAGAGGTTTCTTTTTGTTGTTGTTAACAGAATAAATTTAAACGAGAAGAGAAAACAAATGGATGGAGAATAGACAAAGCATTCCGTAAGTATGAAGACCTCTTTTACAAAGAATCAGTTGGAAGGCCAATCTTTTGTCTTTGATGCCTGTGTATTTTAAAATTGTTTTGTCTCTGTATTGGCATAGAAAGACTAAGACTGGAGTATTTTCAATTTAGCAGTATGGGTCTGGCAGTTTCTACAAATCTATGGGCAAGAGATTAGCCCAAACATCCAGAAGCAGGTACACATAGTTCTCAGTCTGGAGATTACGGAGGGCACTGATGATTCCACTTACAAGTGATTTTTATTCTGAAAGGAGTTGTTTATGGAAGATATTGAATAGAATCTTCTACTTTTTCAAAGTTTTAGCCATAGGATATGTGTACTTGTGGAAGAGAGACAGAGACAATGAGAGGGAAAGTGAGAAATCAGCCCCCTCCCCCCCCCGGGGGCTGGCCATACTGTAGTCCCTTCTTCTCCATTCTCCTCCTGGAATTTTGGCCACACACGCACACCTACCCGTGTGATTTTCAAGTCTCTGTGTCCTGGACTTGAACCGTGATTGCCTATGTCGGGAGTCCAGCACCTTAACCACTATGCCCACCTTAACCATTATGGCACCGGCTGGTCCCAAGGGAGATAGAATCTTGTAGGTGGTTTCTTCTACTAGTCAGTCAGTCATTCAGTCAACAACATGACTACCTGTTACATGCTAGTTACTTTTCTAGGTATGAGGATATAATGGTGACCAGGGCAGATGAGAGTCTTGCTTTTAGAGCCTTAAGTATAATTAGATAGGGGAAGGGATATAGTCAGTAAGCATGATACCATATTGCAGATGTGTGTGTTTTTTTTTTTTTCCTGGAGAGGTTTGTGCACTCGCCAGAAAGACAGAGAGAAAGAGAGAAAGAGAGAGAGAGAGAGAGAGAAATCACCCTCGCCAGAAAGACAGAGAGAGAGAAAGAAATCACCCCCCAGGGGAGGATGGTCATGCCACAATCCCTTTTCCTCTGTTCTCCTCTCGGGATCTTGGGCACTTACGCACTCTCCCCAGTGTGAATTTAAGCCACTGGGTCCGAGACTCAAACCATGATCAATTACATGGGAGTCCAGCAACGTAGCCATTATGCCATCTGCTGGTCCCCAGATAATGATTTATTTTAAGATTCATTTATTATTTTTAAAAATTTTGATGAAAGCGAGAGACAGAGAGAGAAAGAAAACAAGAAAGCAAGCCACCAGGTCTAGGACTCAAATCCCAGTTGGCCATGTGGGAATCCAGTGCCTCAACTACCACATCACCTGCCAGTACTGATAGTGATTAAGGAAGGAAAGAAAGAGGGAGTTAGAGGGTGGGTGTTTAGATTGGCTTATCAGGAAAGTTCTGTCTGAGGAGGTAGCATTTAAATTTAGACCTGATTTGAAGGAACAAGAGATACCCTTCAGATTCTCACTAGTACCCTCATTAGAATGAACACTTTGTTTTTTTAAGTGTACAGGAAGAGACATCAAGGGATCTCTTAAGAGAATTAAATTTGCTGTTTAAAGTAGTTCCTATTTTTTGTTTGGAAGATGCATATTTTTCATGCACTTATAATTGTTAACATTTTATGATTAATAAATGTATTCAGTGTCATACATTTAATAAGTTGAATTGTAATGTTAATTTTAAAATGAATTAATTAAATTTCTTACTTAAAATTAGCCACCTGCTAATTTCAGATAAAAACTTGAATATAGAGGGAACTTAGATTGCATAGCATGTTTATTTTACAAGTAGATACTAAGGTAGATGAATGAATCTGATTCCCAATGTTATTTTGGTCCTCAGGGAGACCATTTCTAGGAATAGCTCCTGGAAGGTCTGGAATATCGTAGGCCTTCACTCTGCATTTTAGAGAAGTGGTTCTGAAACTTACCTTGAGGTTTTACACATTGTAATCAGAAAATAATGCAGAAATCTATAAGCAGTCTATTTTGGGAGAGGGGTCTTTTGACAATTATTTTAGTAGATACTGATTGTAGTGCATTGTATTGTAGTTAAAAATAAAAAAAAAAATTAAAACCCACATGGGTTTTTTTTCCAGGACTTAATATTTGAATTCTTCTGTGAACCATATGGGCATCCTTTATAGATTCTTTAATTGCTGTGTTTTTCAGAATCATGGTGGAGAATTGGGATGGATAATGCTGGGTACACAGCGAAACAGTGCCTTCAGGAATCCCAGACTTGGGTCTGGTTTCCTGATAATATTTTTATTTTAGTGTATGTCTCCTCTTTTTCTGAGGCTATCTTGTAATGAACCCAACCTTTGGTTTTGTGTGTGTGGCACAGTTTTCTCTTCATTCACCTTAAGTTTTGATGTAAAGCTTATGTGAAGATTGGATTTCTGTAGTGGGTTAATTCCTGGTTTGTTTGCACACTGCTCTTTCTGATATAATGCTTTGGGGTATTTATTGAGAGTGTTCCTGATCAATATTCATTTCCTTCCCACTTTGCTGTTATTTGGAAGAGTAAATAATGAAATGGTTGGGATAAAGAATGTGAGAATGGTTGTAGATAGGTATTTTGATGACTTCTTAGTCATCTTTGCCATTTAAAAAAATCACTTACTTTTACACAGAGTTAGAAGCATACTTTGAGTTTTAAGAAAGAATAGACCTATGTAACCTCCACTTCAGACAATATATGGAACATTTTTGTCACTTCAGAAGGTTCTTCATTTCCTCTTTAGTCAATCAAATGCATTCCTCCCAACCCAAGGTGATCACTGCTTTCATGTGAATCGCCATAGCTTAGTATCCCCTAGAACATCTGATTCATGCAATGTTACTGTATGTACTGTTTTGTTCTGGTTTCATTAACTCACCATGTTTTTGTGACTCACCCATGTTACTGCTTGTATCTTTTTTTTCTTTAACTAAGATAGTTCATTTCTTTAATTGCTCAGTGGTATTCCATTGTTTACATGTTCATTTTCCTTCCAATAGACAAACCCATTTGCTTTTGATATTATGATACTTAAAATGTTTTTCCTTTTATACAAAATAAAACCTTGAAAGTTCTTTTCCTTTTTTTTAAACAGAAGAAAAGCGCCCTTTTGACTTCGATTTTTTTGCTCATTTGCTTCAGAAAGTTCTTGCTGAAGAACAGAAAAGAAAACAAAAATCTGTTAAAAATAACAGTTTAAAGGAGAAGAAATCCTCTAAACCACGGAAAAATGGAAAAGGTATTGATTTTAAAAGAAATTATGCTATTTGACTTAGTAGTAATAGACTAGCAATATTATCCCTCAGGTCTCTGAGAGCTTCTGTGCGTGCATCTCAAGTAGTTGAGCTCATTAGTATGTTCCAGTTGGGAGGAATGATTTTTCTTCAGTCTGTTAGTCTGGGCCAAAAGAATGACTTCTTCCAAAATTTTAATTGGCGGACTCAGCAGTTAGTGTAATGGCTATGCTGCTGGACTCCCATGTAGTCAACCGTGGTTCAAATGCCAGACCCAGAGGCTTAAACTCACGCCGGGCGTGTGTGCGTGCGTGCCCAAGATCCTGAGAGGAGAATGGAGAAGGGATTGTGGCGTGGCCATACCCCTGGGGGGTGATTTCTTGCTTTCTGTCTCCCTGTCTCTCTCTGTCTGTCTGGTGAGCACACGCCCTATAGCAAAAACCTCTCCAAAAAAATTTTTAATTGACATCGTTGGACTACTTGTCATCTTTTCTAACATCTTAAATGTAGTTGTAGATAATCAAAGAGTATTTAGATTTTTGAGTATCATGTTTCACATTTTATTATTATAATTTCCTTTGTAAAACAAACCTGGTATGAAATTCTAATATTAGAGAAAATGGATCCTTAATATCTTGGGATTGTGACGAAATTGTATCATTGGAACACAACGTATTTCTTATAGTTAGTGTTGGCTTGTACCTATTTGAACTCTGGTCTGTGAAAGCAGTGTTCAACTATAATCAGAGAAGAAGAAAGTACCTCTCCCAATGGGGCGTTTGTGCTGCAATCCCTTCTCTTGCACATGTGCTTGGTGCATTTCTTAAGCTGGGAATTGGACCTCACAATTGGCCATGTGAGATCTGACTCCTTTTACCACTAGGCCATAGGGCTGGTGCTGAAATAGATATAATCCTTTTTTTGAAGGGTTATTTACTTAATGATTTATTTGTTATTATTATTAATTTGACCAGAGAGAGAGAGAGAGAGAGAGAGAGAGAGAGAGAGGGAGGGGGGGAAAACAAGCTACCAGGTTTGGGACTCAAACCATGACTGGCTGGGTGGGAGTCCAGTGCCTTAACCACCACAATACTTGCCGGCCCTGAAATAGATATAATTCTTATTATTATCAGCACAAGTAATACAGAGTATGAATAACTCAGTATATCTTATTTAATGTAAAAGCTGTGTTATAACAATGTTATAAAATATCAATTTTAAAATTTCTGATTAAAAAATTTTCTGATTATTACTCTGACAGATTAAATCGAATGTTATGTTCTCAATTTAAAATATTTTCATGTTTAGAAACAAAAATAAATGAAGGTTGCCTTCATGATATAGTAGTAATGCACTGATGTAGAGATGCTGGATACCACATGATGACCATGGTTCAAATCCCTGGCTCTGTCCTCTTGAAACGTGCCAGGCACATGTGCAGATACCTAGAATCTGATGGACTAAAGGAAAGGGATCATGGCATGGCCAGACCCTTTCCTCTTTCTCGTCCCCTCTCTCATGTACATACTTATGCAATCCATCATGAATAAAGAGAACAAAAGTAAATTATATTGAATTTTTAAAACTTTTTTTAAAGAATTTTTTTTTAATTTTAACTTTATTTTTAATTTGACCAGAGAGGGACAGAGAGAGAGAGAACGAGGTGCCAGGTCTGGACTCTAACTGCGGTCGGCCATGTGGAAGTCCATGTGGAAGTCCAGTGCCTTTAACCACCACGCCACCTGCTGGCCCTGAACTTTTTTACCTTTGAGATTGGATATCTTTAGAGAAGTCTTTAGAGAAGATCAGCCTTTATTTTGAAGTTAAACTTGCATTTGGTTTGAATGCTGTCTTAGTCTATTTTGTATTGCTCAAGTAATAGAATACCCAAGACTGAGTAATTTATAGAGAACAGGGATTAATTTCTCATAATTATGGAGGCTGAGAAGTACAGGATCAGCACCATCATCTGGCAGGGACCTTCTTGCTGCATCATCATGTGGGAAGAGCAAAAAGAGAGACCAGTAAGCAGCCACACTTGCCCTTTCATAACAGAGGGTGTAGCCCTTATGACCCAATTACCTCTTGAAGGTTTTACCTTTTTTTTTCTTTTTAAGTTAGTTATTTATTTTATGAGACACACACATACACACACACACACACACACACACAACCCCCTTCAACAAGGTTTCATATCGTGATCCTCCCTCTAGCCTTCCCAGACAGCCAGGAACATGGGCAGGAGTGTGTGCTTAGCTGCATGTACAGGTTGACCTGGGAACTGAATCCTGATCTTTCATATAGTTCCAGCATGGTGGAGCTATATTCTGTTGAACCACCACAGTTGGGCCAAAGATCTTACCTTTTGATACTGTTAGGAAAGATGAAATTTTTGAATGCTTTCTCACCTGTCTCTCAAATTAAATTCTTAAGATTTCTTTGGATAACAATTACTAAATTCTTTCTACACATATATACATGTGTGTCACTTATAGTATATGCAATTGTTTTTGTTTAATAAAAATGGCATGTATGGGGACCAACAGTTAGCGTGATGGCTATGTTGCTGGACTCCAGTATAGTTGACTGTAGTTCAAGTCCTGGACCTGGTGGCTTAAACTCATGCCAGGTGCATGTGCGTGTGTGCCCAGGATTCCAAGAAGAGAATGGAGGAGAAGGGATTGTAGCATGGCCATCTACCTGGGGGTTGATTTCTCGCTTTCTGTCTCTCTGTCTCTGTCTTTCTGGCGAGTACATGTGCCCTAGAGTAAAAATCTCTCCAAAAAAAAGATACATATGGGAGCTTGCAGGTGGTGTGGTGATAAAGGTGCTGTATTCCCACTTGGCCAACCGTGGTTCGAGTCAGAGACCTGACAGCTTGCTTTCTCACTTTCTCTCTCTCTCTGTTTCTCTCTGGTCATATTAAAAAAAAAAATAGTAATAATAAATAAAGTTGAGTAATTAAAAAAAATATGTATTACTGCCATTGATTTTCTTATGTAATAATGTTTTGAAATCTTTTACACTAGTACTACGTACAAATATACCTTGTTGTTGTTATTGATTTCATGAGTTGGATTTTTATAGCATGAATATGTTATAACTTACTTAGTCATTCCCTATTGGACATTTCAGATTATCATCAATTTTTTTGTTCGTACAAGTAATATAGAGGACATCATAAACATGTATCTTTTTTACCTTTAAGAATTTTTCCTATAAGTTGTTTATAACAATTTCTTTTATTTTCAGCAAAAAAAGTTGCCAGTGAAGGAACAAATGATGATCCGGATGAGTCTATGAGTACTAAAATTTCAGACACAGAAAGATCTCAAAACGTTGCTCAGACAGTTGAAGAGTCTCTGACTTTATTAGGACATGATTTGGAGGAGGTTGCTTTAGAACAAGACCTAAATCAAAAGAATAGAAAAAAGAAGGATCAAGATGAAGTTAATGAACGGGAAGTAGAAAGTCTTTCGGAAAATGCCTCTGTTCAGCCAGGCCCTTCTAAAGGAGAAAAACACAAGAGTAAGTTTTTTTTTTTTTAATTATTTTATTTAACTTTATTTGTTATTATTATTTTAATATTTCCAGAGAGAGACAGAGACAGAGAGGGAAAGTGAGAAAGTAAGCCTCCAGATCCAGGACTTGAAGCATGGTTGGCCATGTGGGAGTCCAGTGCCCTTAACCAACACACCACCTGCTGCCTCCAAGAGTAAGTTTTTTTTTACATAACAACTGCTATATTACTTGAGAAGACATATACAGTAATATGTTATATAATTTTAATTCTTTCTTTCTAGATAGTAGCAGTTAATAAATCTTTTTCATTGGTTCTATAATTATGGTATTGTATTAAATCTTTTTACTTATTTTTGATAATAGTTTATTTCTTTAGTAAGAGAAAGATAGATTATTTTGACAGTGTCTCACCATCCTATGATCTTTCCACCTTAGCCTCTCATTGTCTACGAATGCATGTCTGCACTACTCTGCCTGGAATGGTTAATATGGCGTGGGATCTAAACCTGGACCTTCCACAACCTTCTAGCATCACATACCCTATTGCCTGCATGAGTGTAGCAGGCAATTTTTAGTTAAAAGATAAAAGGTTATGGTGGAAAAAAAAATGTATGAAAAAAAAAAAGTTACAGTAAAGCAGAGAGATTTTTCTCTTAGTTTGTTTTTAAGTGTATCACCAGCTATGTATTCCCATTTACAATGATTAGAAATGTAGGGGTCAGCAGGTGGCATGGTGGTTAAGGTGGCTGGACTCTCACATAGCTGACCGTGGTTCAGTCCCAGACCTGGCAACTTGCTCTCGCACTTTCCCTTTCTTTCTCTATCTCTCTCTGGTCAACTTTTAAAAATAAAAATAAAATAATAACAATGAATAAATAAAACATAATAGCTTTGTGATTCAGAAACTAAACAGACTTACTTTAAATTCTAGTTTGTTTTTTATTTGCTAAGTATGACATTAGGCAAGTCACTTAAGATCTCTGAACTTGGGACTAGCAGGTGGTGTAGTAGTTATGTCTCTGGATTCTCATGTGGTTCAAGTCCCTGGATAAGCATGCCAGTGTGTGTGCCCAAGATTCCAGGAGGAGAATGGAGAAGGGATTGGGGCTTGACCATGCCCCCTAGGGAGTGATTTCTCCCTTTCACTCTCCCTCCCCCCCCCACCCCCCCGCAAGTGCATGTGCCCTATGGCAAAAACCTCCAAATCAGAACAAATTTCTGAAATTGGGGCCAGCAGGTGACGTAGTGGTTAAGGTACTGAACTCCCACATGGCTGACCCCCAGTTCAAGTCCTGGGCCAGCGGCTTGAAACCCACATCGGGAATGTGCATGTGCATGCCCAAAATCCTGAGAGGAGTATAGAGAAAAAGGGATTGTGGGGCATGGCCATCCCTCCCAGGGGGTGATTTCTCACTTTCACTCTCCAGTTAGTGCATACAACCTTTAGCAAAAACTCTCCTGAAAATAAAAAGATCTCTGAACTCAGGCAGTTCTTCTCTGTGATAGAGTTTATACCAATAATTTTTAGGGGCAGCAGGTGGCATGTTGGTTAAAGGTGCTGGACTAAACATGGTCAACCATGGTTTGAGTCCCAGACTGGTGACTTGCTTTCCCTCTCTTTCTCTCTCTCTCTCGTTCAGTCCCTCTCTGGTCAAATTAAAATAAGTAAACAAATAAATAAAGTTAAATAATTCTTTTTTTTTTT